GAGCCAGGCTGCTCTGATTGGTCAACCAGCTTAGAGAAGTCCCGCCCTTAGCCTATCACGTACAATGTGTTGGAGAGCTAGCCAATAGGAGCACGAGTGTTCCGTAGTGATGTCACAATGTTCCGTATCTTTGGGATTTTAGCCTCTGCAGACCGTTGACATGCACTAACATCTAAAGAGCACACTACAGGAGAGGGGAGACCCACTCTTTTGATATTATTCAATATAGTTTGGGGTCTTGTGTGGGTGGGCTGCCAGGGGTTGTTCCCTACCTGAGACGCTTATCTGTGGGATGTATGTACTTACATAGTGCTGTTTCCTCTGGGGAGTCCCATGGCGTTGAGGAGGGGGGAGGTGGGGGTGGAGGGGGAGGAGGAGGAGGCAAGATGGAGGACAGGAAGCTGGAGGCGGGAGGGAGACGTCGGGGAGGGAGGAGAACGTTGAGGACATCAGAGAGGGGGGGGGACATGGGGGGGGGAGGAGGAGGAGGGAGGAGGAGGGGGGGGAGGGAAGTCCTGGGAGGGGCTAGTGGGGGAGGAAAGGTTTACTGAAGAAGGCAGGAGGGGGAGGAGGGAAGGATGGAGAGCTGGGAGAGTCCATGCTGGGGGAGGACAGGTTGGAGGAGGGGGGGGCTGAGAGGGGGGAGGGGCTTGTGTGAGACGGAGGGGGAGAGGGGGGAGGAGGGGGGGAGGAGAGGTTGGAGGCGATGAACTGTTTGGGTCGAGCGTAGTTGAAGGTGCTGGCTTTCATGGCGGCGCTGCTCTCCAGCTCTGGAAGCAGGGGGGAGGAGGGAGAGGGGGGGAGGGAGGAGCAGGTGGAGGAGGCGGGACTTCCTGTGGAGGAGGCGGGACTTCCTGTCTGGGAGGGTGGTCCTGAGGGTGCCAGGTGACTTCTTTGGCTCCAATAGGATCTGATCGTGGAGATGCTTCAGCTGCAGCGCGTTCCTGCAGAGGAGAGAGAGATGGACCAGAGACTTTAGACTTTAGACTTTAGATTTAGACTTTAGACCTTAGACTTAGATTAGACCTTAGACTTTAGACTTTAGACTTTAGACTTTAGACCTTAGACCTTAGACTTTAGACTTTAGACTTAGACTTTAGACTTTAGACCTTAGACTTTAGACTTTATAGACTTTAGACCTTAGACTTTAGACTTTAGACTTAGACTTTAGACTTTAGACCTTAGACTTTAGACTTTAGACTTTAGACCTTAGACCTTAGACTTTAGACTTTAGACTTTAGACTTTAGACTTTAGACTTTAGACCTTAGACTTTAGACTTTAGACTTTAGACCTTAGACTTTAGACTTTAGACTTTAGACTTTAGACCTTAGACTTCAGACTTTAGACTTTAGACTTTAGACTTTAGACCTTAGACTTTAGACTTTAGACTTTAGACTTAGACTTTAGACTTTAGACTTTAGACTTTATACCTTAGACTTTAGACTTTAGACCTTAGACTTTAGACTTTAGACTTTAGACCTTAGACTTTAGACTTTAGACTTTAGACTTTAGACCTTAGACTTTAGACTTTAGACTTTAGACTTTAGACCTTAGACTTTAGACTTTAGACTTTAGACTTTAGACCTTAGACTTTAGACTTTAGACTTTAGACTTTAGACTTTAGACTTTATACCTTAGACTTTAGACTTTAGACCTTAGACTTTAGACTTCAGACTTTAGACTTTAGACCTTAGACTTTAGACTTTAGACTTTAGACTTTAGACCTTAGACTTTAGACTTAGACTTTAGACTTTAGACTTTAGACCTTAGACTTTAGACTTTAGACTTTAGACCTTAGACTTTAGACTTTAGACTTTAGACCTTAGACTTTAGACTTTACACTTTAGACCTTAGACTTTAGACTTTAGACTTTAGACCTTAGACTTTAGACTTTAGACTTTAGACCTTAGACTTTAGACCTTAGACTTTAGACCTTAGACTTTAGACTTTACACTTTAGACCTTAGACTTTAGACTTACACTTTAGACCTTAGACTTTAGACTTAGACTTTAGACCTTAGACTTTAGACTTTAATAGCAATACATTTCATTTTTAAAGCGCTTTTCCTAATGCTCAAAGACAAAACACATACACAGTAGTCCTAATCCAAGTGGGAGTAAAGTGTGGGGGGGGGGGGGGTTGATCAGAGTTAGAAAGCTGGAGTGAATAATTTCAAATTGAAGAGTGTTGGCCGTTGGGATGTGAGGGAGATCCAGAGGGAGAGCCAGAGGGAGATCCAGAGGGAGATCCAGAGGGAGGTCCTTCAGAGGAACTACAGGCAGGATCAGGGTCAGGTTTTCTTCCGTAACGCATCTTTTTTCAGACTAATGGACATCAAACATCCAGGATTTTAAGATAAGAAAAATGGACCTTTATTAATCCTCGTGGGGACATTCAGTGGTCTACACAGCAACAGGTCAGAGTGAGAAACAGCAACAAGTTATAGTGTAGTTATAAAACAGTTCATGTGTGTTGCATTGTGACCCCGTGGTGTGCAGCCCTCTCTCTCTCTCTCTCTCTGTAGATGGTCTAAACTCACCAAAGGTCAGCTCTACATAACGCCTCGTTTGCATATTTAAACATAACATCTCAAAGCCTGCATATTATACACATTTCACATGGAGAAGATGCAGAACATTATTTCTATGGCAGTGCTTTGTGATTTGTTGAGAGATCAAACAGACATGCTCAGTAGAAACCTTTGACTCTAACATGTCAACAACAGGGAAGAAGGATGTGTACATATTTAATAAGTGTATGACTCATTTGCATATGTAAACATACCTAAGAGAGAACTTGTAATATACAACGTGATTGAGTTTGGGAGCTTACACTCTTTTTCTGGTGTGTGTGTGTGTGTGGTGTGTGTGTTGTGTGTTGTGGTGTGTGTGTGTGTGGTGTGTGTGTGTGTGTGTGTGGTGTGTGTGTGTGTGTGGTGTGTGTGTGTGTGGTTGTGTGTGTGTGTGGTGTGTGTTGGTGTGTGTGTGTGTGTGTGTGCAGCAGCTGATATGCTATCGGCCTGTTGACACTGCATCAGGCCTGCTGGAGGAGTGACAGATAAGAGGGTCTCTGTGAACAGCTGACTTTCTTCTCTCTCTCTCTCCTGATGAGTGTGTGTGTTTTCTCCCTGATGAGTGTGTGTGTTTTCTCACGGAGGAGTGTGTGTGTTTTCTCACAGAGGAGTGTGTTTGTTCTGAGTCATTATGGGAGACGGAGGTTTTATTCCTCAGTTTTCGGTCTGGCTCCAGCAGCTTAAGGGAAGTTACATTTAAGACTTTTTAATTATACTTGGAATTAAATCTAAAACCTAGTTTATAAAAACCAAATCTGAAGAAAGGAGAACAATTATTGTGCCGAGTTCAAAGTCGTCCTGAGCCAAGTGTCCTCCATGCTGCTCAATGAGTTAAAGAGACCTTTTTTTTTTAATTAAATCACAGCTTCTGATGGAAAACAAACCTTGTGTTTCTCCTTCACCCACGAACATCACAGACATGTTCCAAAGGGCCTTCCTGCAGCATTATGAGACCATTCTGATAGATTGAGGACATTTGAATACGAACTAGAGACATCTGATGATGGGACCACACCACTAGCAACGCTTGAAGTGGTACAAAGGTGTGACGGGGGGGGGGGGGGGGGTAAACAGCCTCTCTCCTACTCCCTAAAGTATTAATACTTGAGATATGGACAAAGCTTTTCGGTGTTTGGACTCCCTTCAGCACGACATAGGAAGCTTCGTTAGGGCTCAGGAGGCAAAGGTAACGTCATGTGACATTAGTCAAAGAAGAAGCCAAAAAGACTCAAAGTACTAGATCTGAGTACTTCTACTTTCACTCAAATACTAGATCTGAGTACTTCTACTTTTACTCAAGTACTAGATCTGAGTACTTCTACTTTTACTCAAGTACAAGATCTGAGTACTTCTACTTTCACTCAAGTACAAGATCTGAGTACTTCTACTTTCACTCAAATACAAGATCTGAGTACTTCTATTTTTACTCAAGTACAAGATCTGAGTACTTCTACTTTTACTCAAGTACAAGATCTGAGTACTTCTACTTTTACTCAAGTACAAGATCTGAGTACTTCTACTTTTACTCAAGTACTAGATCTGAGTACTTCTACTTTTACTCAAGTACTAGATCTGAGTATTCTACTTTTACTCAAGTACAAGATCTGAGTACTTCTACTTTCACTCAAGTACAAGATCTGAGTACTTCTACTTGTACTCAAGTACTAGATCTGAGTACTTCTACTTGTACTCTAGATCTGAGTACTTCTTCACCTCAGCTGATTGGTGCATACTGTGTGTGTTAAATATTACAACATGCTGTACAATATATATATATTTGTGTACATGTATGATCCAGACTGAATGCAGACTGTCCTCCAGGAGGTTCGGAGAGTAAAGAGAGACTCCTCGTCCTCCAGATGTTCGAGGAGGCGGGACTAAGTTCTCCTCGATCAGGTCCAGATGTTTGATAATCAGCCCGTCCACTGTTTCTCCTCTCAGACAGCAGAGAGGGTCTCAGCTCAGCAGACACACAAGGGTCAGTGTGCCCTCCTGCAGGATCACGTGACCAGCAGGACCAGTCTGAGAGCCTGGCCTCAACTCACTGCTGACACTTTGTGATTCAAGAGGGTCAGTCAAGAAGAGAGAGTTCACTGCGTGTGTGAGACGTAATGTCACAACACTTCCCAAAAGCGACGTAAAACACAGAAGACCTAAACAAATTCTACCATAGAAACAAAACAAGCGAACAGAGACAGGAATGTCGTGAGAGACACGAAGGTCTCCAAACTGATGGGAGAACCACCAAAAAGAGACAGAACTGCTAACACAGAACTACCAGAAACCCACAAGAAGACCTCAAAGACCCCACATCTCTTTGAACTCTGAGGGGTGGGGGGGCTCTTTGTCCCATTACTGAGTTATTCTGAGGGCTTCTTCGTGCCCAGATACTAGTTATTAATTCAGACCCCCCCCCCCCCCCCCCCAGACCCCCACCCTCAGATCTGTTACAGGAAGAGTCTGCCTGCGCCTTTTACTCCTTTTTAGGACTGCAGCGTGTGCTCCAGCAGAGAGGGAACACACACACACGCACACACGCACCACACACACACACACACACACACGCACACACGCCACACACGCACACACGCACACACACACACACCACACACACACACACACAACACACACACACACACACACACACACACACACTCTTCAGTACACGTCAGTAACATGTGTGATCTGGAGGTTTTTTCTTACATCTGCCTCACCATGGTGTTCTGTACTTTAATATGAAAAAACAAACACCTTCTAACAGCGGAAAGTAGTAGTATATTTACTAAAGCAAAAGTACTCGCAAAGTATTACAGAAATACTGCAAAAGTACTGCAAAAGTACTGCAAAAGTACTGCACTTAAGATAAAACAACTACAGGTAAAAGTCTTGCGTGACACTATGAGCTCATGTACCATAACAAGTTTTCCAGTACAAGTAAAAGTAATGTTAAAGTACTCCGCCACTACAGGTAAAAAGACTGAGTAACAAGTACTCTGAAAGTACACAAGTACAGCAAATGTATGGAGATGTTCCTCCTGGTTAAAAATAATACACTACAGCTAAAAAATACCCACAAGTGAAAGTACTCTGAAGGAACTCCACTACCAGTAAAAAGCACTTTCATTCAAAACGAGAATACTGAAAGTGCACCACTACAAGAGGACTGGGAATAAAGTACTCGACTACAAGTAAAAATACTGACTCATCACAAAGTGTGTGTAGTGCAAACACACTCTCCTTTTTACAGTGGAAATACGTCACTGGATAAACACGGTGTGTTGGTGTCAGAGGGGGTAGAAGTACACAGATCTTCTACTTAGTAATACAGAACAGTACTACAGTAAAATGTACTTGGTTACATTCCACCTCAT